AAACACACACAGATAAAACCATAAAATAAGACAGTCTGTAACCCAGATTTGCCCAAGAAGCCAATATTATCAACTTTGGAAACACGAACCTAGATTATGTCTTCTACCCCAGGAAGGCCCGGACTCCCCTTTGCTTTCCATTTTTGCCCTCTTGGGACAGAAATCTTTAAACCAGGGACGACCAAAATTTGTTCTTAAAGAGCCAGAGAGAAAATATTTTCAGCTTTGCCATCTCTGTGGCAGATAATGAATTCTGTCAGAGTGGCATCAACATGTTTTATCCCCTTTACTCCTCAAAATGACTTCATGAGGTGCCTAATGTTATAACGAAGAAATTGAAGCAACGTAAACAAATGGGCATGATTATATTTCAATAAAACTTTATTTTCTGATGCTGAAATATAAATTTCACATTTTTTACAGGTCACAAATAATATTCTTCTTTTGCTTTTTTTTCAATCATCCCAATATGCAGAAACCATTCTTAGCTCATGGGCTATACAAACATGGGTAGTAATGAGCTGCTATAGACAATTAAAACTGATGACTGCAGGCCAGGCACAGTGGCTCATGCCTGTAATCCCAGCACTTTGGGAGGCTGAGGCGGATGGATTTGCTGAGGCCAGGAGTTCAAGACCAGCCTGGACAACATAACAAAACCCCATCTCTACTAAAAATACAAAATTAGCTGAGCACGGCTGGGCATGGTGGCTCAAGTCTGTAATCCCAGCACTTTGGAAGGCTGGGGCAGGCGAATCATGAGATCAGGAGTTCAAGACAAGCTTGATCAACATGGTAAAATCTCATCTCTATTAAAAATACAAAAATTAGCCTGGGTGGTGATGCATGCCTATAATCCCAGCTACTCAGAAGGCTGAGGCAGGAGAATTGCTTGAACCCGGGAGGCGGAGGTTGCAGTGAGCCAAGATCACACCATTGTACTCCAGCGTGGGTGATGAAGCAAGACTCCATCTCAAACAAAAAAAAAAAAAATTAACTGAGCATAGTGGCACATGCCTGTAGTCCCAGCTACTCAGGAGGCTGAGGCAGGAAAACAGCTACAAATGGGGAGGTGAAAGTTTCCAGTGAGCTGAGATTGTACCATTGCACGCCAGCCTGGGTGACAAGTACAAAATTTCACATCAAACACAAACAACCACCACCAAACTGGTGACTGCATCCCCAGGACCTACTGGCATTTGCTGGTTCTGAGTCTTAGTTTCAAGCTGCCTGAAGCCATCATGAATAAGACCATTTTGCAAGCAGATCCCCATATGCATGTAGTTCCTAATTCACTCGATAATTCCAACTGGTCTGTTTTTAGTCGTGTTTCTATTCCATCTTCACCTGAACACCTTCTTCCTTTGAAATCTGTGGATTTCAAGTATGGAAAACAGCAAATAATTAGGAGTACAGAAATCAACTAACAATGGGATGGTGTCACTACCAAACACCCTTCCCCTGCCCAGGGGCCCCTTAGACATGCCAAAGGGAGGCATAGTTAATGAGGAAGCCACTGGTCCAGTTCATTGCCAACATCAGTAGTAAGGCATGGGCTATAAAATGATCGTGGAACCGCCATGCAAAGAACTTAGCTTATAACACTGAGACTTGTTGAAGAGAGTGCAATTCCTAATAATTGTTAGGAACTTTGTCTTTGAGGTCAGCTAGACATTTGCCAACCGTGTCCTTGAGAAAACCAGCGACGTTGCTAAGCTTCCATTTCCTCATTATGTTAATAACATTACCTCATTATAACATTAGGCACCTCATAGTCATTTAGATAGCTAAAGAGGATAAAACACACAAATGTGACCAGGCGCAGTGGCTCATGACTATAATCCCAGCACTTTGGGAGGCTGAGGCAGGTGGATCACCTGAGGTCAGGAGTTCAAGACCAGCCTGGCCAACATGGTGAAACCCTGTCTCTACTAAAAATACAAAAATTATCCAGGCATGGTGCTGTACACCTTTAATCCCAGCTACTCAGGAGGCTGAGGCATGAGAATCACTTGAACCTGGGAGGCGGAGGTTGCAGCGAGCCGAGATCGTACCACTGCACTCTATCCTAGGCAACAGAGCAAGACTCGGTCTCAGAAAACAAAACAAAACAAAACAAAACAAAAACATATAAATGCTTAGAATGGTGCCTGGCATATAGTAGGTGCAAATGTATGTTACTTATTATGATTTCTTATTCAGTCAACTGGAAGGGGACGGGTGTGCTGGGCCTTAAAACCGAACAGGAATATATGAATGAAACTCTAAAACAGGCGTCCCCAAACTTTTTACACAGGGGGCCAGTTCACTGTCCCTCAGACCATTGGAGGGCCGCCACATACTGTGCTCCTCTCACTGACCACCAATGAAAGAGGTGCCCCTTCCTGAAGTGTGGCAGGGGGCCAGATAAATGGCCTCAGGGGGCCACATGTGGCCCACAGGCTGTAGTTTGGGGATGCCTGCTCTAAAATATGAACAAGAATAAATAAGCCCTTTCTTTCAATATCAGGGAAGAAATTATGGGTGTGTCTTTTTTCTAAGAATTTCCTTGAGTCTTCTCTCCTGAACTTCCTTCCTGGTTCTGAGTCTATTCTTTGCCTGGTAAGCAGAGAATCAGAACAAAGGAGATTTTCTACATATTCCAAGGCATTTATTATGAAATGACTCTGGCCTGGAGCCTACTTATAGTAGTTAAATATACGACACTCTTATTTTTATGAGATCATAATAGACATCATGATTGTAGTCATAATAATGGCTGCTATTCATAGTGTAATGGTGAAGCCACAGCCTTTGAAACCTGGATCCAAAAATCAATTCCATCACTCACCAGCCGTGACACATCTCCTCCGTGGTTTTCCACTGTCTCATTATCAAACATCAATATTAATCATCTCCACCTCCTGGGGTGGTAAACAAGGGTAAATGAGATAAGGGAGGTAAGGTTTCAGCTATGTGCTTGGCCAATTGGAGGCACTTAATAGGTGTCAGCCATTATTATGACATGCCTAGAGCTTTGCAAAAATTATCCCATGTCCATGTATAGCCTTATTTCATTCTTAAAATAACAGCTCCGAAATACCAATGGAGCTCTGTCTGATTCTGAACCTTGTCCATTTTCCACTGCCCCCCGCCTGACCTCATACCAGCTACACAGACAGGGAAAGGGACAAGAATGTATAATTTCCGGGAAATTTTTTTGTCCTTTAAAAGAACTGGCAGAGCTATTAACGGCCCCCAGAGACTGGTTAACTGTCTAGTTAACCAACACCCAAAACAATGATTAAACATCCACACCAAGTTAAGTCAAGCTTATGTTGAAAGAGGGAAAGAAAGAAGGGCCGGGCGCGGTGGCTCAAGCCTGTAATCCCAGCACTTTGGGAGGCCGAGGCGGGTGGATCACAAGGTCAAGAGATCGAGACCATCCTGGTCAACATGGTGAAACCCCGTCTCTACTAAAAATACAAAAAAATTAGCTGGGCATGGTGGTGCGTGCCTGTAATCCCAGCTACTCAGGAGGCTGAGGCAGGAGAATTGCCTGAACCCAGGAGGCGGAGGTTGCGGTGAGCCGAGATGGCGCCATTGCACTCCAGCCTGGGTAACAAGAGCGAAACTCCGTCTCAAAAAAAAAAAAAAAAAGAAGGAAAATGCGGGGCTGGGTGTGGTGGCTCATGCCTGTAATCTCAGCACTTTGGGAGGCTGAGGCAGGTGGATCACCTGAGGTCAAGTGTTCGAGACCAGCCTGGTCAACATGGTGAAACCCTGTCTCTATTAAAAATAAAAAATTAGCCAGGAATGATGCAGGCATCTGTGAGCCCAGCTACTCAGGAGGCTGAGGTAGGAAAATTGCTTGAACCCAGGAGGTGGAGGTTGCAGTGAGCCAAGATAGTGCTGGTGCCTCCAGCCTGGGCAACAAGAACAAAACTCTGTCTCAAACAAAACGAAACAGAACAAAAAAGACAGCAAATGCAGACAGGTGCTCAAAATGCATGTTCAGGAAATCTGAGGCTCCCGAAAGTATGAGCCTCACAGTGAGGGACAGTGAGCTGTGATCCTTCAGAAGGGCGGAGAGGGAAAGGGAGAGTCCCGTGGTCAGATATGAACATCATTGGGGAAAGTGGACTATTCTGGAATGCCTGGATTCAGCTCTTGGTTGGAATGCCAATTCTATTTAGGTTCGTGCAAATTAATTGCACAGTTTTGTACCAACCTAAATAACTACTTACCTGAGCGATTTCAAGAAAAATTCTTAAGCTCTGTTTCCTCATTGGTCATGAGCAGAAAAAATGATGTACTTGAATTCCAACTGAGTTTTCCTCCACTGACTGGAGGAGAGGGGAAAGATAAGGTAGTCCTCATAATTAGTGTTTATGTTTTATTTTATGGATTTTTTGCCCTTCTAAAGTGGATCCCAAAATCATGCAAAATCTGAAAAGCAGCAAATATCCACCTCCTGCTTGTATTGCTAATCTTTTGTCTCTATTGGTCTCTTTTTTGTGCCCTAAAGAAACAGGCTGTTGGTGACTGATCCCATTGACTCATGCCCACTATCCCAGCACTTTGGGAGGCTGAGGCAGGAGGATCACTTGTGACCAGGAGTTTGAGGCCAGCCTTTGCAAAAGAGTGAGACCCTGTCTCTTAAAAAAAAAAAAAAAAAAAAAAAAAAAAAAAAAAAAAAAAAAAACTTAATTAGCCAGGTATAGTGGCACATGCCTGTAGTCCTAGCTACTTGGGAGGCTGAGGTGAGAGGATCACTTAAGCCCAGGAGTTCAAGACTGCAGTGAGCCATGATTGCACTACTGCCCTTCAGCCTGGGCCACAGAATGAGACCCTGTCTCAAGAAGAAAAAAAAAAAGTGCTCTTGGGCCTACCAGCCCAACAACAACCCTACAGCCCTCAACAACCGGAGAAAGGATCCGTACATAGGGATGGGGACCCAAGCGGGGCCCCAGGAGCTCTGTCTCCTCCTTTAGGCTCAGAACCCTTATCTGTTTCCACAGGGGCTTTCCGAGGCGTGTGTAAGAAAATTGATCACTTCCCTGAAGATGCTGACTACGAACAGGATACAGCTGAGTATCTCCTGCGTAAGTTCCCCAGCTTGTCGGGTCTCTCTGGAAGGAAGGGATGGGTCCCTGCCATCACCCGGCTGCCTCTCGGTTACAGGTTCCTCAGCATCCTTCCCTAGAAATGGATAAGTGCAAAGGAGCCTCATGTGTCAGTACACAGAGTCATTGAAGTGGTTCTGAGATCCAAGCCCTTTTAGTTTCAATGAATTAGAAATAGAAAGAAGAACCAGGGGTGGGTTGGGGGATAGTTCCTACCTGTAAACCCAGCAGCTTGGGAGGTAGAGGCCAGAAAGGATTGCTTGCGCTTAGGAGTTCCAGATCAGCCTGGGCAATATAGCAAGACCCCATCTCCACAAAAAGTTTAGAAAATTTTCTGTGTTTGGTGGCACACACCTGCAGTCCCAGACACTCAGGAAGCTGAGGTGGGAGGATCACTTGAGCCCAGGAGATTGAGGCTAAAGTGAGCTATGATCATGCCACTACAGTCCAGCCTGGGTGACAGAGTAAGACCCTGTCTCTGAAAAAAAGAGAAAGATAAAGGAAGGAGAAAACAAGAAAGGAAGGAAGGAAGGAAGGGAGCAGGGGAGGGAGGGAGGGATGGAGGGAGGGAGGAAGGAAGGAAGGGAGCAGGGGGGGGAGGGAGGGATGGAGGGAGGGAGGAAGGAAGAAAGAGGGGAGGGATGGAGGGAAAGTAAGTGAGTCAAAACTGAAAGGTTCTTTTTAGTTGGTTTAGGAGAAAAAACTAAGGAGCTTTCTCTAACTTGAATGCAAGTTTTCACCTTCCCGGGAGGGTTGATCGGAGGTGCTAATGGCAGAGTGCTAATGGGTGAGGTGAGGTGCTAATGGGTGAGGTCCCAAGGAGCCAGGCGTGGGAGAAAAAATACAAACCCAAGTTCACCTCTCCTTTGACTTCCCTCCAGTTTCAATCCTACTGAGACAGCGCCAATGTCTCTGTAGGTTTTTCTGAGGTCAGTAACCTGAATATGACATGAACTGTCACAACTACAGTGTGTAGGAGCCAATAGAGTGTGGTGGCTTTGAGCCAAGGCCTCTGGAACCTGGGCTTTGACCCTCGTTTGACTACTAGATGGGCAAGTGGCTTTATCTCTCTAGTTCCTTTCTTCACTTTTTTCTGAAATACAGATTATATCATCCAACTGACAGGGTCATGAAAATTAAGTAAACTAAATCATATTACTCTTAGTCTGGGGCCCATCACATAGTCAGGAGGCAGTACTATGCATTATTAGCTCCTGTTTCTTGCATGGGATCAGCAATAGCAAAATTCACTGCAGAGATGAGCTTTCCGTTGTCCCAGGAGGCACAGAGAGAACTTGATTTTGGATTTCAATGTAATTTCCTCAGCAAGAATGTGTGTTGAGTTCACTCAAAATGATAACGAGGCCAAGTGCAATGGCTCACACCTGTAATCCCAGCACTTTAGGTGGCCAAGGTGGGAGGATCACTTAAGCCAGGAGTTCAAGACCAGTCTGGGCAATATAGCAAGTCACCAACTCTACAGAAAAAAAAATTTTTTTTTAATTATCCAGGCATGGTTGTGCACACCTTTAGTCCCAGCTACTTGGGAGGCTAAGGTGGGCAGATTGCTTAAGCCCAGGAAGCTGAGGCTGCAGTGAGCCATGATTGTGCCATTGCACTACTTCGTGGGCAACAGAGCAAGACCCTGTCTTAGTAAAAGACAAATAAATAAAATATAGACATATCATTTATCCTTTTTCAGTCCTAATCCATCCAGTAGAATTTATTCAACCCCCTGCCAACCTAAAAGGGAGAAGCTAAGGCAGAATTAATAAAAGTAGAGAATTTATTTGGGCCAAGAATGAGGGTTGCAACCTAGGAGCATAGATCCAAGTTGCCCCGAATGTAAACTCCAATTAGCAGCAGTGACAGGTGGATTTTGAAAGGTGAAGAAAAGGGGACAGGGAGTAGTCTGATACAAATTGTTTCTCAAGAATTTTCCTTGGAGTGGGGCGCAGTGGCTTATGCCTGTAATCCCAGCACTTTGGGATGTTAAGGTGGGTGGATCACCTGAAGTTAGGAGTTCGAGACCAGCCTGACCAACACGGTGAAACCCCATCTCTACTAAAAACACAAAAAATTAGCCAGGTATGGTGGTGTACACCTGTAATCTCGGCTACTTGGGAGGTTGAGGCATGAGAATCACTTGAACCTGAGAGGCGGAGATTGCAGTGAGCCAAGATCACACCACTGCACTCCAGCCTGGATGACAGAGTAAGACTTTATCTCAAAAAAAAAAAAAGAATTTTCCTTGATTTACAGAAATAATATTGATTAGTGATTGGTTATAGGGTGTGGAGGATAGTGTCAGATGCAACATTGTTAGGTTATTTTACGATACTTGTGTCACAAGCAAGCAATTTCAAGAGATGAGTACACAGCTCAAAGAGGCAAGCAGAACGTGATCACTCTCTCATTTCTCTTTGGGCCTGATAATTAAAAGGGCTTGCATTACTCAGATAAAAGTTGTTTTCTCTTCCCACGTCTCACATCAGCAGTTCAAAAAGATTTGGTGTGAGGAGAAAAATTAGCCACATTTCGAGATGTAGCTTGACCCAAGTCTGGGAGATGACACAGATTACTTGCATGTTCTCAATAGAGAATGGCGTTAGACATCAGTGGGGTTTTACCAGAGTGCTCAAGATTTTCTTCGTTTTTCTTTTTTACATTGATAAAACATTTTTATGTTTGCCCTGTTGGAGACTAAACAGAACTGTGACTTCTACTTCACAACTCTTCAGAGAGGCCCATGGTTTTCTAACAAAGTATTTTTCTCACTTCTGGGAAGACGTCCCTCCCTCTCTCCTCACCCACTAGCCCACAGTCCATCGAAGCTTCACCTATAGCAGCAGAATCCGGCTAAGGTTAAGGAGAGGCCTTAATGAGCACACAGATTTCCTGCTGGGAATTTTAGAATTCCTGATCCAGCCATGTAGGGCCGGAAGCGTGTTCCCGCAGGGTTCTACCTGCCTGACCGGTGTTCACGCCGCTGATCCCTGTCCTGACCCACAATCCTGGAGGGACTGGGATTCTGCATATCAACTTTTCTGCTGTTTCCTCTGTCTCCTATGCTCTTTGGCGTAAGCTGCAGCATAAACCCATAGCAGCGTTACCAGAAAGGGGTCTAGATCCAGACCCCAAGAGAGGGCTCTTGGATCTCACACAAGAAAGATTCAGGGTGAGCAGGGTGCGGTGACTCATGCCTGTAATCCCAGCACTTTGGGAGTCCGAGGCAGACGGATCACCTGAGGTAGGGAGTTCGAGACCAGCCTTGACCAACAGGGAGAAACCCCGTCTCTACTAAAAATAGAAAATCAGCCAGGCGTAGTGGTGCATGCCTGTAATCCCAGCTACTCGGGAGGCTGAGGCCGGAGAATCGCTTGAACCCAGGAGGCAGAAGTTGCAGTGAGCTGAGATCACGCCATTGCACTCCAGCCTGGGCAACAAGAGTGAATCTCTGTCTCAAAAAAAGAAAAGAAAAAAGAAAAAAAATATTCAGGGTGAGTCCACAGAGTATAGTGAAAGCAAGTTTATTAGAAAAGTAAAGAAATAAAAGAATGGCTACTCTATTGACAGAGCAGTGGCATGAACTGCTTGACCTAGTATACTATGGTTATTTCTTGATTTATGGTAAATGAGAGGTGAATTATTCATGAGCTTTCCAGGGAAGGGACAGGTGATTCCCAGAACTGAGGATTCCTCCCCCTTTTTGACAACAAGGTAACTGCTGACATTGCCATGGCATCTATAAAGTGTCATGGTGCTAGTGGGAGTGTCTCTTCACATCCTAATGTATTATAATTCGCATATAATGAGCAGTGAGGATGAGCAGAGGTCACTCTCATCACCATCTTGGTTTTGGCAGGTTTGGGCTGGCTTCTTTATTTTGTCCCGTTTTACAGCAGAGTCTTTGTGACCTGTGTCTTGTATTGACCCCCATATCATCCTGTGCTTGGGAATGCAGCTCAGCAGGTCTCAGCCTCATTTGACCCAGGCCCTATTCAAGAGGGAGTCACTCTGTTTCCAATGCCTCTGTCGGCAGAAGGTTCAAAGCCCATACATTCTGTTGACTAGAAATGCCCGCAACACAGCATTGGACTCAGAAAACCCTTTTCAGACTCTGATGATGAGGCTACACTTGAACAAGCTTATGTCTCCACCCTTAAGACTCTAACTTAGCCGCACACAGTGTGGGGAGGAGAAATGGAAGGAAGACAATAAAAACCTCTTCCATCTGAAGTCACCCTGCGCCCACCGGGCTAGAACAAATGCAAGGTGAACTTCCACTGACTTCGGAGAAAATGACACCAGAAAATGTCCTGTCTGAGGCAGACCCTTACAGTCAGAGTTGATAGAATCTACTTGTATCTCATCTGTGGGGCAAAGAATGGGGTCTCTCCCCCAATGGGTTCCCAAATGATGTTTGCACCACTTGGGAAACAGTCACATTTACATATCTCCCATCCACATGTTTCAAACAAACTTTTTTTTTTCTTTTTTTTTTTTTTTGAGATAAGGTCCTGCTCTGTCATTCAGGCTGGAGTGCAGGGGCATGATCACCATGATGTCTGGCTAATTTCTTTTTATATTTTTTTGTAGAGATGGGATTCCCTCTATGTTGCCCAGGCTGGTCTCAAACTCCTGTCGTCAAACGATCCACCTGCCTTGGCCCTCCCAGAGTGCTGAGATTACAGGCATGAACCACTAGGCCAGGCCCAAATATCCCATTTTGTAACCAACACAGTTTAATAGCTTCAAGCATTCAGATCATTTCCTTAGGGCACACATCAAAAGTTAATCATCCTTTGATTTTTTTTTTTAAAGTGTTCACTTTTTATTAATTACACTCACTACATTGAATATTCACGCAATTCCTGGATTCAGATACAATGCAAGTGATCCCTTTAAGATTAGTCCACAAGTCCCAAACAGGTGTTTGAAACCACTGGAGGAGACTCTCCCCCCAACAGTATTTACAGGGGCCCAAGGCAAGAATCCAGTTGGAAACCCATAGGTCCTATGTGTACATTTTTACAAATTATGAATAAGTTGTGCCCACAACTGGGCCCATTAAAAATAAGCTATACTCACATACGGAACCCCAGAACTCTGGGATGGCCCCCTAGACCTGGGAGCTAAAAATATCAGGAGCCAGCTCTGCCTCCTGCAAGCCTGAACAGTGGCAGAGAACTGCAGGACTTTGCAGCAGGCCAGAACTCAGCAAGGACACTAATCATGCTCCCAGAGGGTCAGTGCAGTCAGGTTCTCCTCCCCAACACCTGGCTTCTCCCAGCAGGATTTCCAGGCAGTTTGAAATTTCTCCCAGAATTTTACCATTGCAGCAGAGGAGTGGTAGGGATGCAGTTTTATCTGCAACTCTGACTGCCCAGCTCCCATGTCTGGTGATTCGGGACAGCCACCTTGAAACTGTTAGCAAATGCCAGGAGTTCAGTCTAGGTCCCATTGCTCACCCATAGGAAACCGATCATTGAGATGAGAGTTGCCGAGGAAGAAGGTTTTATTCTGACATCAGTCAGAGGGATGGAAGACAAATCTCAAATCCATTTCCACCCCAACCACTAACTAAAGTAAGGGTTGGTATAACTGGGAAGAAACACAGGAGGGGCAAGGAAGAGGATTTAGCCAGCAGGCAGCAGGTGCACTTTGTTTCATTGAAACTTACACATGTAAGTTTCTCAAGCTTCAGTTCATGGGCATCCAGGCTGTTAGAAGAGTGGACCAGCTTCAGCCAGGCATGGTGGCTCACATCTGTAACCCCAGCACTTCGGGAGGCAAGGCAGGTGGATCATCTGAGGTCAGGCGTTCAAGACCAGCCTGACCAATATGGTGAAACCCCATCTCTATTAAAAATACAAAAATTAGAGAGGGGTGGTGGCATGCACCTGTAGTCCCAGCTACTTAGGAGGTTGAGACAGGAGAATCGTTCGAACCTGGGTGGTGGCAGTTGCAGTGAGCTGAGGCTGCACCATTGCACTCCAACCTGGGTGACGGAGCAAGACTAATTCTCAAAAAAAAAAAAAAAGAAAAAAAGAAAAGAAAAAAGAAAATTGGCAGTTTCAAAACCAAAGAAAAATCCCTTCTGTCTTTTCTTAAGAGAACCTCACCCCTATGTGCCCTCAGCCCCCCACTTCAGGTCTCCCCCTTCATCCCTCTAGGGCCCACAGGTTAAATAAGTTACCAGACTTTCAGAAAACTGAAAACACAAACAAGCAAACAAATGAAAGCGCAGTAGCAAATGAAAACGGCTGGGGCTAAATAGGCAGAAAACACATAGTGAATGTGAAAGTTAAAAGCTTGAACACTGAGTAATGTCAACTAAGCTTTGAATGCCTGAGTCAAAATAAACTCATGTCCTCCCTGGCCCCCCACTCCCTTGCATGTGTCCTTGGTCAGGAGAGGATTCTCCATTCACTCAGCACCTAAGATGAAACACAACTTGCAGCCCATGGCCAGTCAGCTAATTCCTTTGGCTTTACTTTCAAAATATAAAGTACACCCTGAACCTGACCACGCCTTACCACCTCAGGTGTCACCCAGTCCATGAAGGGCTCTTGCCTGGGTTCTGGGTTTGTGTTTTTGTTTTGGTTTTGGGTTTTTTTTTTTTTTTTTTTTTTGGTTTTCGGTTTTTGAGACGAGGTCTTATTCTATTGCCCAGGCTGGAGTACAGTGGTATCATATCAGCTCACTGCAGCCTCGGCCTCCCCAGCTCAAGTGATCCTCCTACCTCAGCCTCCTAGCCTCCCAAATATCTGGGAACACAGGCACATGCCACCATGCCTAGCTAATTTTTAATTTTTTTAGTAGAGATGGGGTTTTGCCATGTTTCCCAGGCAGATCTCAAACTCCTGACCTCAGGTGATCCTCCCCCTCCCAAAGTGCAACAGGGCTCTGCCCCCAGAAGGACCCCACCCTTGGTCCCATGCTCCGCTGTCACCATCTTGAAATTCTTAACAATTCTGGAACAGGAGACCTCACTGTTTTTTGTTTGTTTGTTTGTCTGTCTGGAGATGGAGTCTCAAACTGTTGCACAGGCTTGAGTGTAACGGCGCAATCTCGGCTCACTGCAACCTCTACTTCCTGGGTCCAAGTGATTCTCCTGCCTCAGCCTCCCGAGTAGCTAAGATTACACCTAGTGATTTTTATATTTTTATATTTTATATTTTTAGTGGAGATGGGATTTCACCATGCTGGCTTGAACTCCTGATCTCAGGTGATCCACCTACCTCTGCCTCCCAAAGTGTTGGGATTACAGGTGTGAGCCACAGTGCCCAGCTAGGGCCTCACATTTTTTTCTGTTGCACTAGGCCCTAGAAATTATGTAGCTGATCTTGCCTGTCATTGCTACTAGAGCATAAGGCCCATGAGGACAGGACCCCTGGCTTCTTGGTACACCAGTGAGCACGGAATTTATTCAGCTGATGTATTCTGGAACGGACCCACCAGGAAATACTCTTATACTGGTTGGGTAAATACTGGTACCCCCACCACAGGGGACCCCTCTCCCAGGACCTTAAGGATCCAGGACTCTGCTCTGACCCCTCAGCCGGTATCTCTTTTGAAGGGTAGTGCCTGTGCCCTTGCTGTGGTTAAACATTTCAGCTATGACTGCAGCACCTGCCACAGCACCTGGCATCTAGTAGGTGCTCAAGAAATATCTGTCGAATGAATAAGCAAATTCATTTGTTCATTCGTGACTAAATGAGTATTCAATGGGTGTTGTCATTCTCCCTACTATGCCAATGTAGATGCCTACAGGGAAAGATTCTGCATTTTAATGAGCAGTATGTGGTCTGATGGGAGTCCCTGTACACAGGGCTGGCTGCGTCATTTGCAGGGACCAGTGTGAAATGAAAATCCTGGGCTCTTAGGCCAGGCGTAGTGGCTCATGCCTGTAATCCCAGCACTTTGGGAGGTTGAGGCAGGAAGATTGCTTGAGGCCAGGAGTTCTAGACCAGCCTGGGTAACTTGGCAAGACCCCATCTCTACAAAAAATACAGAAATCAGCCAGACATGATGGCACCTGCCTGTAGTTCCAGCTACTTGAGCGGCTGAGCAGGAGGATCGTCTGAGCCTGGAAGGCTGAGGCTGCAGTGAGCCGTGATTGCACCAGTGCACTCCAGCCAGAGTGACAGAATAAGCACCATCTCAAAAAACCTGAGACCAAAACCAAAACCAAACAAAAATCTCCTTTTTTGTGATCACTCTTGATCTATCATGGTGTTTTCTATTTGCCATTTAATATCACCCTCCTGGGGTGCAGGGACATTCTCCTGGTGAGTGCAAACCCTCCCAGGGTCCTGGGGCTTGCACCCAACTCTGACTCTCCCTGTGTCCTTGCCTGGGCTCCCACCAAGGGTAAAGAGGGGCCCTTGTGTAGTCGTTGGGCTGAAGAGGGAGAATGGGCATTTGAGAGCCTTTTCCAGGGAGGCAGGAAGGTGGGAAGGTGTTGGTGATAGGAGGGGAGGTAGGGAGTGGGATGCCACATAAGTCAAAGCCCCAAGCCCCAAAGCACATGCCATTGTCCCATCAGATTTCACTTACAAAACACACATTTGATTATAAAATTGTTAAGGCTCTCAGGATGGTGACTGCAGAACATCAATCCCAAGTGCCAAGACTCCAAGCACAGGCTCTGAGCACCTGGTCTCGGGCCCACGTCAAACATGGGCTCTGCTCTCCTCCCGTGCGGCCTTCCTATCAGGCACCGCTACGCTTGCAGTGGGAGGACCCCAGGGGCTGGCTGGGCGCAGGCAGAAGCCTCTCTCTTTCTCTCCGCAGGAGCCGTGAGGGCCTCCAGTGTCTTCCCCATCCTCAGTGTCACGCTGCTGTTTTTCGGCGGGCTCTGTGTGGCAGCCAGCGAGTTTCACCGCAGCAGACATAATGTCATTCTCAGCGCAGGCATCTTTTTTGTCTCTGCAGGTGAGTGTCTGGCCCTAGCCCTGAGATCTTCACAGACACCAAACCAAAGCCAGGGCCACATGGAAAAAGCAATGTTATTCAGAGCTCCCTTCCAGGGACGGAGCAAGAAAATGTTCCAGTTGTTGTGCTAAGGATGAGAACTCAAAGAATTTCATTAGAATCAAAGGTGTCAAAACTCTAACTAAAGCCAGCATGAGGGAAAGACAGGGAGGAAACCGGATGGCAGGATCAGCTGAGACTGAAACAGAGAGAGGGTGAAGGAGAAAGGGACAGGAAAGGGAAAAGAGAGAAGGAGAGAGAGATTAACAGGAGTGTACATACATGCTTGCTGCTTGCATATATGATTGGTGTGAACTGATCGTGTGTTTTAAAGTGTTCCACTTTGACTGGGGAAGCTGAAGCAGGAGGATCGTTTGAGCCCAGGAGTTCAAGACCAGCCAGGGCAGCATAGTGAGACTGATAACTAAAAAAAAAAAAAAAAAAAAAAAAAAAAAAAAAAAAAATTTTAATTAAAAAATTAGCTGTGACCACAGGTACACACCTGTGGTCTCAGCTACTCAGGAAGCTAAGGTGGGAGGATCACTTGAACCCAGGAGGTCAAGGCTGCAGTGAGCCAAGATCATGCCACTGCACTCCAGCCTGAGTGACAAAGTGAGGTCCTATCGCTAAATACGTAAATGTGAAAATATAGAGGTGCATTTTAGTGTTCACTTGGGCATGTTCATGTACAGTCTCTGGCCCTTCGAGATATGTGTTTGCCAGCTAGCTATTATTCAAGCCTCTCTTACTCACCATTGTATAATCTCCTCCACTGTTCCCAGGCCAATCAGTACTCTGCCATCACCCTGCAAAGTTTGAAAGTCATCACCAAAGTCCAGCCCCATCCAGTGTTTGAAGTGCTCAAATTCTCATATCATTCCAAGCATCTCTGGGAACAAGGTAAAACCAGCAGCCCAAGATGCTCTGCAGGAAGACCTTACAGTCCTTAGCAGCCCTGACCAGAAGAAAGCACAGGGTGGCAAGGGCGCTGAGGGGCACCCTTCACAAAAGGGGCCTGTTCTCTGCCTTCTCTCGCCCCGCTCCGCCTCCGTCCCTTCGCTGGTGGCCTGTCTTCCTGGATTCCCTCTGAGTTTTCATCCTTCATCCTTGCTTTCATCCCCCATCTCTTCCTACCCCACTCCTTTTGGAGTGGATCAGTGCCATCTGGATGAAATGCTTTAGAGAAGCAAAGCATAGGTCAGGGACGGAGGAAGATGGTGCTGGACTCCGGTGATGACTTTCAGACTTTGCAAGATGATAGCGGAGTATGGATTGGCATGGGGACAGTGTCGGAGAGTATAAAATGGTGAGAAAGAGTGGCTTGCAGCCCCCCTGGATTTCAATCCTGGATCCACCAATCAGGCCGTGGGAAATGTGATCAACTCTCTGTGATTTGTTTTCCTTGACTATAACGTGGCAAATAATAATAGTACCAACTGCAGCTGGGCTTGGTGGCTCACGCCTGTAATCCCAGCACTTTGGAAGGCCGAGGCAGAAGAATCACTTGAGCACAGGCCTTCAAGACTACCATGGGCAACATTGTGAGACCCAATCTACACAAAAGTTTAAAAATTAGCTAGGTATGTTGGTGGCTGCCTATAGTTCCAGTGACTCAGGAGGCTGAGGTGGGAGGACAGCTAGAGTCTGGGAGGTCAAGGCTGCAGTGAGCCATGATCATGCCACTGCACTCCAGCCTGGGTGACAGAGCAAGGTCTTGTCTCAAAATCATAATCGTAATCATAATAGTACCAGCTGCATGGGGTTTACTGGAAGGAGACTGTATTAGTTTGTTCTCACACTGCTGATAAAAACATACCCATGACTGGGTAATTTATAAAAGAAAGAGGTTTAATTGTCTCACTGTTCTATATGGCTGGGAATGTCTCACCATCGTGGTAGAAGGCAAAGGAGGAACAAAGTCACATCTTACATGGCAGCAGTCAAGAGAGCTTGTGCAGGAGAACTCCCTTTTACAAAACCGTCAGATCACACCTGTAATCCCTGCACTTTGGGATGCCAAGGTGGGAGGATCACAAGGGTCAGGAGATAGAAACCATCCTGGCCAACCCTCGTGAAACCCCATCCTACTAAAAATACAAAAATCTGGTGGGTGTGGTGGCGCATGCTTGTAATCCCAGCTACTTGGAAGGCTGAGGCAGGAGAATCTCTTGAACCCAGGAGGCAGAGGTTCCAGTGAGCTGAGATGGCGCCACTGCATGCCAGCCTGGCAACAGAGTGAGACTCTATCTCAAAAAAAAAAAAAAAAAAAGAAACCATCAGATCTCATGAGACCTATTCACTACCACAGGAACAATATGGGGGAAACTCCCCCCGTGATTTAATTATCTCCACCTGGCCTCACCCTTGACACCTGGGAATTATTACAATTCAAGGTGAGATTTGGGTGGGGACACAGACTGAACAGAGAAAGCACAATACCATTTTCTACTATTAGAAAAGCAGCAAGAATACAGTTCCAAAATCTGGAGTCCCACAAGAACTTGCTCAAATTCCTTCCCCACTCCTTCCCTTTCTGTGAGATAAGAAAGTGAGGCTGTTTAAAGCTGAGTCGCTGGGAACTGACTCCAGCAACAGACCAGAAAGAAAACTGCCATCTTGCCCCAGGGGGATGAGATCAGCCCACAGGTGGCAGTGGCCTCTACCTTGCTCTGTGTGGACAGATGTTAGCATCTACAACCCCAGGGACTTGTTTTATCTTGAGGCACAGTTCCTGTCACAACACCCAGGTGGCTGTGTCTCCGGGTGCTGCCGGATCCAGAGGATCAGTATCAGTGTTATGCTGATGTGAGAGTTTTCTAAGAACAAGAGAAGATCATTATTTTGTCCCCCAAGGGGATTGTTAGGGAAGAGTGTCACCAGCAACTTTCTTCTCACAAAAGGCATTGTGAGAGGTGGCAGGTGGAGTAGACACATAGGAACTAGAAAGCGTGTGAGTCCGTGGAGGAAGCCCTGACAGGAAGGCAGAGGCTTGGGGTCTAATCCTAGATCCTTCCACTGATCTCCCCAAAGAACCCTAAGATCCTGTTTTTCCACCTCTAAAATGAAAGGAGTAGATGATTTACTACTCTCTAAGGCTCTTTTTTGCTCATCTTACTCTAAGGTTGATCATTTGAGCCAAGCAATTAACAACACTTTAAATCAGTAAATAAGAGTGCTGGGGGAAAAAAAAGACAGAGAAAACAATTCTTTATTGAGCACCTACTATGTATCAGATATTATGCAGAATGCTCAAGAGCATGAGCTCTGAAGTCAGGCTGCCTAGTGCAAATCTAGCTCTCCTACTTTCCGTCTGTGTGACCTTGGGCAAGTCACTTAACCTTTCTGTGCTTCATTTATTTCCCCATCTGAAAAAAGAGAATCATAATGGTCCCACCTCTTGAAGCTGTTAACAGAATTAAATGAGTTGGTAGAGATAAAGTGCCCAGAGTGGTGCCTATCATCCAATATGTGCTCCACACATAGTAGCTGTTATCGTATGCCATTTAATTCTCATACCAACTCCACTCATTCACTCATTCAACAAATATGGACTGCCCTCTTGCTATGAATCAGGCTCTGGGCTGGGAGATATGGCCATAGCAATGAATGAGATAAGCACGGTCCCTGCCCTCAGGGAGCTTACAGTCTGAAAGTAGGACAAAGCAATTGTCTACTCATATCTTGTTTTCCCTAAGCCTTGTTACTGAAATCTAAATCCACCATGGCTAAGAGTTCTGGATTCAAATCCCACTTCAACTATTTTCTATAGGTCGGTGCAAAAGTAATTGTGATTTTTGCAATTACTTTTAATTTAATGGCTGTGCTCGACATGGGAAGTTACTTATCTTCTCCGTGTCTGTTTTCCCACCTGTAAAAGGGGAATCATTTTTTAAGCGAGACTGTTGTGATGATTAATAGTTAGGATGCATATAAAGATTTTGCACAGTGCCTGGCACATGGTAAGTGCCTTATAGATAACTGGCAATTTGCTTGGCTTCCTATCAGCCTCGTCTGACATCTGAGCCTCTCTTTGAACTTCTTTCTTTCTTTCCCCACCCTGCCCCACTCCCTGCTGTCCCAGAAAGACTTCCTTTGGGGAGTTTCCAAACTTTACCATCAAAATATTCCTGCTGGCAGAGGATAGAGAAAATATGGCCTGGGGGAGTCAGGGGGCATCAGTAGAAGCCACCTTCATTGAGCCGAGACGTCTTTGAAGTCTGCCTCCCATTTAACTTAAAAATTCATGTGAATTCTGCCTTCTCCTCCTTATTATATCCTTGTTCATTTTAATATAAAAGAATATGTCTTCCCTACTCATCTTCAAGCCAAATTGACACTCCAGGAAGAGGAGCCGTTTGTCACCCTGTGGTTTCTTGCAGCCTGACACAGAGCTGGATGTGTCAACCCCCATAATAAGAAATAGCTCAGTGATGAGAACTTGCTGCCTACCTGCTGAATGTCTGTGCTGGGTAGAGCCAAAAGGAGGCAGGAGAGAAGCAGATTTTGTCTCTGCACTCTGGAGACAAGTTTTAGGTGAAGTCTAATCAGAAGTCCTATTCAAAATATTGAGTCTGGGCATGGTGGCTCATGTCTGTAATCCCGATGTTTTGAGAGACCAAGGTGTGAGCATCACTTGAGGCCAGGAGTTCAAAACCAGACTGGGCAACATAGCAAGTCCCCATCTCTACCAAAAAAAAAATTTTTTTTTAATTAGCTGCGCTTAGTGGCACCTACCTATAGTCCCAGCTATTCAGGAGGCTGAGGAGGGAGGATGCCTTGAGCCCAGGAGGTTGAGGCTACAGTGAGCTATAATTGTTCCACTGCACTCCAGCCTGGGAAACAGAGCAAGACCCCATCTCTTAAAAAACAAAACAACAAAACTAATAACCCTAATGCATGTGCACCAGCTAATCGGAATGGTGGCACTGGAGCACAGGCCTATGTCTGCTGCCCTATCAAGCTCTAACCCTTTGGTTGCTGGACTGTAGGGAGATCTTGGGGATGCCCAAGTTCAAAGAGTATAGAACATTCAAGGAATGGTGTGAGAATTCAAGAGGCTCCTGGAAATGGTTACTCACCAACTGTTGTCGGAAACTGTAATGAGGGACAACCTCCATTTAGCACCACCCTACAGGTAGCCTAAATTTGGAGGCAAAGAGATGCCAGCTGGTGTACCAACAACCTCCATGAGTCATTGTTGGCACCAAGCCCTGGATGAGGCCCTTGAAACAAAGAAACAAAAAGAGACATATCCCCTTCAGAGCAAGAACATGAGAAAGGTAGGCAGAGATGTGCACAGCCCTCCAAACCTCCTGCTCCTACTGACCGCCACCTGGAGAATTGATTCTTCTCTAGTGGGCTAAGCAGCTGTTTCCAGCAATATTGGCACTTGGGGAAGCTATGTCTGCAAGGCTTGCCTGTCGGAGGTAACAGCTTCCTGTTCCCCGAGTCCTGGTGCCTGGTGCTCAAACAACAGCTGATCTGAAGCATTATCATATCCTGTGCAGATAAAAAGACTTGGTAAGCTCCCACCTCTTCCCCATGGGTTTATTTATTGTCCCAAATTGCAGCTCCAGACCCATACATTTCCACTGGGCAGCTTCATTTGGAGTTTCCATAAGCACTTCCAACTTAATGTGTTCAAACCTCCTCTTCTATCTAAACCTGGATTCTCTGCTGCCTCTTATTTGAGCTCAAAATGCCACCAGCCTCCCAAGCATCCAAGTTAGAACCCTAGTAACTCATTCGCAATTCCTTCTCTCACATGCCATAGTCAACCGTCTTTCATCTCCTGGCTCACCCCTATTTAATTTCCAGGATCTGGTTCAAATGTCACCTCATCTTCAGCGCCAGGTACTGTCTTTCTCTCTCCATTTGCTCCTGAACCATTTTTATGTGGCTCTGATAAAACCCTTACTGTATTTTCCTGTGATTGCATTTACATGTCAGTCTTTGCTACTAATGATAAAGAATTAAAGGGCAGGGACATGGATCTTGTTCATTTCACAGTCTTCATGGTTTAGTGCCAAAGATTAAGTGTTGACGAGATGAATTGCTTCTAAGGGAAAAATAAGGGCATTCTGAGTTCTACTGTACTTGCTGTAGGAGTAGGGTGTACTCTTGAGCTGAATACACATTGCCTGGAACTGAGCAGCAGAATTCTTCATTTCCCAAGTGACAGACCATGCAAAAGAGCTCTGTGGTTGGATTTCCCAGCTATAATCCATTCTCCTCTCTCCCCGTTACCTCCACATTTTCTATAAATATTTTAAGACGGAATGTGACAGTTCTCTCTGAGTTTTATAAAAGACGTGTTTTTCTTTTCCCCTTCTCTTAGGGTTAAGCAACATCATCGGCATCATAGTTTATATATCAGCCAATGCCGGAGACCCTGGGCAACGTGACTCCAAAAAAAGTTACTCCTATGGTTGGTCCTTTTATTTCGGAGCCTTCTCTTTCATCATCGCAGAAATTGTAGGAGTGGTTGCCGTGCACATCTATATTGAAAAACATCAGCAGTTACGAGCCAAATCCCACTCGGAGTTCCTGAAGAAATCTACTTTTGCCCGCCTCCCACCCTACAGGTATCGATTCCGGAGGCGGTCAAGTTCTCGCTCCACCGAGCCCAGATCCCGAGACCTGTCCCCCATCAGCAAAGGCTTCCACACCATCCCTTCCACTGACATCTCGATGTTCACTCTCTCCCGGGACCCCTCAAAGATCACCATGGGGACCCTCCTCAACTCTGACCGGGACCACGCTTTTCTACAGTTCCACAATTCCACGCCCAAAGAGTTCAAAGAGTCACTGCATAATAATCCGGCCAACAGGCGCACCACGCCCGTCTGAACTGACCTCTGACCTCTGCCCCACGCCCAGCACAGCCTTGGGGGAAGTGTACAGAGATGTCTCTGAGGTTGCATGGCATGGTCCTCGTGATGGTATTACTTTTTACAAAGAATGAAACCAAATGGACTCAGCCCTCTCCCACATTTGCCCCTCACCCTCCAAGTCCTAACCCCTCCATCCCTCCCTAAGTTTTCAAGCCAATCCCTTAATGTCATTCCTCTCTCTGTGTATCTGTGCCAGATGTTTTCCTTTCTTCCTTCTTTACTGGAAGGACCTCCACATTCTTCCCTCCTTGGAAGAGGACTTTACTAAAAGTCATGGGTGGTGGCCAGGGGGGATTTCTGAATCCCCATCAGGCGCGTTCATAGTTGTCCCCGTCGTCCACTCACACAAATCCTCAGGAAACCAACCACCGCCCAGGTGGCCCTGAGGGAGGCATTCACCTTTACATGTTAGAAAAACATGACCAGAAATCAAAGATGTCAGAGCCCCGAAGCAGCTAATGTAATAAGCACTCATGTTATTAAAGGTTTTGCCTTGTCGTAACCCACTGAGCCAGGGGTGTTTTGTTTCTTTTGGTGTTTCCTACACAAACTCACTCCCCGGCCTCCAAACTGGCTCATGTCCATCTTACACTCTCAACTTAGCTCATCCATACTTGAGCCACTAGGGAGGATCTCCCTGCACCTTTGGAAGCTAGCATGGTGTTCTGTTCCCACAAATGTCCAGATCAGTGTGTTCCCTCCACTTGAATTCCTGGAGGCTACCTGTAGGTGGGTGAGTGAACGCTGATTTTCAAGACCTAACTCTGGCACACAACAACTCTAGAACCTTGGGCAAGTCCCCTAAGCCTCAAGCCTCAGTCTCCTCATCTGTAAAATGGAACATGATCATAGCACTCTCCTCCACAGAGTTGTGAGGCTTAAATAAAACATTGCGTGTAAAATGATTAGCACATTACAAACAATCGATATATATTTTTCAGTGTTTCGGGTGGATTTTAGGCAGAGCAAGCATCATGTTGATCTGCTTGTGCTGTGATAACAAAATATCAAAATGGGCCAGGAGAGGCAGCATGAGATTGTAGTCCCACCTCATGAGACTACAGCCTTGAAGGCTGAAGCAGAAGGATCACTGGAGCCCAGGAGTTCAAGAGTACAAGTCTAGCTGAGACCCTAGCTCTAAAAAAAAAAAAAAAAAAAAAAAATCAAAGACTGATGGCTTAAACAACAGACATTTATTTCTCACAGCTCTGGAGGCTAAGGAGTCCAAGATTAAAATGTCAGTAAATTCAGTTTCTGCTCAGGACTACTCTTCCTGACTTGTAGATAGCAGCCCTCTTGCTATATCCTCACATGATAGAAAGAAAGTAATCTCTCCCTCTTGCTGTATCCTCACGATAGAAAGAAAGTAATCTCTCTCTCTCTCTCTCTCTCTCTCTCTCTCCTTCCCTCCCTCCCTCAGTTTCTCTTTCCATAAAGCCACAGATCCCATAGTGAGGGTCCTATGTGTCCCACACCAATGATCTCATCTAACCCTAATTATCTCCCAAAAATCTCATCTCCAAATAGCATCACACTGGGGGTTAGGGATTCAACATATGCATTTTGGGGGAAATGGGAAGGTAGATGGGGACACAGTTCAGTCCACAAAAAGTGTTACTGTAGCAAGATAAAAGCCAAAAGCCAAATGGAAGTTACTTTATATAAGGGAGAGAAAGAGAGAGAATATACTTTGCACAGGCTCTGAGGGCTCTGGAAGAGAGAATGGAAGGATTTAGATATTTTAAATGTTTGATGTTAGAAAGTATGAGAAATACATTGGCCGGCCATGGTGGCTCACTTCTGTAATCTCAGTGCTTTGGGAGGTCAACATGGGCAGAATTACTTGGCCAAGTCCAGGAGTTCAAGACCAGCCTGGGCAAGGCAAAGAAACCCTGTCTCTACAAAAAAAAAAAAAAAAAAAAAAAATTGGCCTGGCATGGTGGCACATGCCTGTAGTCCCAGCTACTTGAGAGGCTGAGATGGGAGGATCACCTGAACTCAGGGAGGTGGAGGCTGCCATGAGCCATGATCATCCCACTGCACTCCAGCCTGGGTGACAGAGTGAGACCCTATCTGAAAAAAGAAAAGAAAATATGAGAAGTATGTCACCTATGCCCACAGTGACTTCCTTGAACATTTTTGGCACATACCCAGGTCTTAATACTTCTGAGGAGCCTTCTCACTTAGGGCTCCAGCACACTAGGAGGAAGGGTTGCCACCCTGAGAGCTTACACTTGCGGGTGCCAGGCTGTGTTCTGCTGCCATACACACACAGAATCATTTCATCCTCCCAGTAACCCCATGAAGAAAACACCTGCTAAGATCTCCATTTTACCAGTGAGGAAACTGAGGAAAGAGAAGTGCTGTGACTTGCCCAAATTTTATTCCCACTATGGAACAGAAGTCTTGGGAAACTAGTACCTTGCCCACACTCACACAGTGAATTTCATTGTAAAGTGCACCTGGGGACAATTCGTTTTGTTCAACACTTGAGTCATCGCATGCAAATGGCATGCACATACATTAAATCATCTCATTTAGTCCTCCAAAGAACTATGTGTAGTAGGAATTATCATCTCCATTTTGGCAGGTAAGGAAATAAAGGCTCAAAGAAAGTAAGTATCTTGGGTGCTGATAAGCAGAGAGACATTTGTATCTAAGCCTCTGCTTCCTACATTGTGTGGTTTCCCCAGTGTTCCAGCATTTTCAGTCATTTGGGTGTGGCTCCTAGGAAGTTTTTTATATACACATGCCACATCAACAACTGTTTACCTAATGTCTTTCTTTAAGCCTGCTCTCTTTTAATCGTTCGATAAATATATTTCGAAAAGGAACTTTGTATCACTTCAGAGAAAACTGAAATTCCTTGCCATAATCAAATGGTAACTGGGAAAATAAATACGATACAAACACCAACAAGCATGCTATATTCCAGCTGTTGCTAGCTCAGCTCGCTGCAATCTGTACCTCCCTGAGTTTGGCTGAAGGCCAACTGCTTGTTCTTTGTGAAAAGGATATAACCAAAGTGTTAGAGAGGTGTTAAAGGATATTCTAGCACCAAAGGAAAATGATTCCCTTGGTTTACCCAGAAGGCGCAAAGGAGAAGTCAAAAGGGAGTACCCTTCTCACTGTGTGATTCGACGCTCCATGATACTGCAGCCATGCACTATATTAAATCATCTTCTACTCTTTTTTTTTTAATGGAAGTTTATTATTCTAGATTTATTTATTTATTTAACTTATTTTGAGATGGGGTCCCACTTTGTCACCCAGGCTGGAGTACAGTGATGCAATCTCACCTCACTGCAACCTCCGCCTCCTAGGTTCAAGCAATTCTCCTGCCTCAGCCTCCCAAGTAGCTGGGATTACAGGTGCACACCACCACGCCCGGCTAAGTTTTTGTATTTTACTAGAGATGGGGTTTCACCATGTTGCCCAGGCTGATCTCAATCTCCAGAGCTCAGGAAATTTACACGCCTTGGCCTCCCAAAGTGCTAGGATTACAGGTGTGAGCCACTGCACCCGGCCCTATTTTTTATATATTTTTAAAAGGTGAAGGATGAGGTAGATTTTATTTTAAAGCATGTGAAAAATATTTGGGAATGTCAACTGAGGTAATTTTTTAAAAATTTTTACTTTAAGTTCCGGGACACAAGTGCAGAACGTGTAGGTTTGTTACCTAGGTATACGTGTGCCACGGTGGTTTACTGCATCTATCAACCCGTCATTTAGGTTTTAAGCCCCGCATGCATTAGCTATTTAAAACTATGAAACAGTTCACGAATTTGCATGTCATCCTTGCTCAGGAGCCATGCATCTTCTCCTACTCTTGGGAAGAAGTGGTTCCAGCCACCCTTGGAGAGGGAAGGATCTGAGAACCGGAGCAAAAGGTTGAAGGAGGAGCAGCAGTATCCAGACACCCTGGGAATTAGGAGTGTGCAAAAGCAGAGCATTTGGAAAGTCTATCTGGAATCGAGAGAAAAGCCCCGGGGCCTTAACTAGTGGGGCATCCGCCCTGGTAGTCAAGAATAAAGTCCTTCTGCAAAGGCCAGAGTGCTAGAGGAGAGAAATGGCCACGTGACCCCCGGAAGGACTCCCCTTCTACCCCATATCCCTCCCCACCGCACCGTCTAGGTTTGCTCCCTGCAAAGCTTTGGCACAGTAGCCTCAGGGTACCTTTGCTTGAAGGCTGCTCAGCTGAACGCCTCTGGCTGGCATCTGATAAATATCAATATTACCACTTCTGGATTGTAGCCAGGATTCTGGCCAATTTTTGCCATCCAAATCCATTTGAAAAGTATTCCCGTTCATTAAGCTGCCACTCTGTGTGTCAGACACTGTGCCGTGAACTTCACTCATCTTATCTCATTGAATCCTCATATTTGTGGCAGGTATGATTGCTAAATTCATTGTGTGGATAATGAAACTTACAAGTAGACAGCAAAGCCAATACAGAAACCTACATCTGCCTGACTCCAAAGCCCATGCAACCGCCCCTCACTAAGCAGTCCTGGCCGTGCTGCTTGAATCTCTTGCTCCATTGCTTAGTTCTCCAACTCCTTCTCCCTCAAATGCAGCTCTCTTTCCCAGCTGACTCATTTCACCAGCAGACCCCTCCACCAAGCTCCAGACCAGAACCCTTGACTTTCTCTTTGCTGCGGCTTTACTGTGCAGCCCCTGGAACTGACTTTTTGCCAAGTTATGCCTCTACCTTTTCAGAACAGGGAGGCAGCTTGCAAAACGTTCAAGCACACAAACTCTACAACTGGATCTGGACAACTTCAAAGTTTGAATCCTTTGACTTTGAATCCAATGACTTTAAATCCCAGCTCTGTGTTTACAAACCACAGACCTTTGACAAGGTCATTGCCCTTTGCCTCAGCTTCTCCATCCATAATATGAGCACTAATAGTACTTACTTCATAGGTTTATCATGAGGATTAAATGAGCTTACATTCGTAAAGCACATTCCTAAACCAGTCATCAAAAGAAAATAACTTGAAACACCGTAAGTACAACATAGATGTCAGCTATTGTGATTTAATATAGTTCCCAGATTTACATTTTTCCCATTTGGGCACTTTTCTGCAGAGACAATCTTATTTTCCAGATCTTGTCAGCACAGGCCTCTGTGCTAATCAGGCCAGTGTCCACACTGTACCCCGGGCTAGCTCTCTTCTCCCAATTCTCTGCCTTTGCTGATAAATGTTACCCCTACTTGAAATGTTTCTACTTGCCCTCTCCAAATCCTATTCATCCTTCGAGGCCAAGGTGAAGCCTCATCCTTTCCATGAAGTCATTTTTAATTTTATTTTATTTTATTTATTTATTTATTTTGGAGATAGAGACTCAATCCGTTGCCCAGGCTGGAGTGTGGTGGCACAATCTCAGCTCACTCCGCCTCTTGAGTTCAAGTGATTCCCATGCCTTACTCTCCCAAGTAGCTGGGATTACAGGCATACACCATCACAACCAGCTGATTTTTGTATTTTATTAGGGACG